ATCAAATACTTATAAATACAGCTTGTATCTTAGCTTAGAAAAATAATGAGTTCTTAGTTTTATATTCTTTTAATAATTCTTTAAATAATATTTTTATAATCTCTCGTCTTAATTGTGAAGTTATTCTTGTATTTGTTTTATAACCTTTCGTCACTATTGTAAAGTTATATTATCTTATACAATTTTGTATTTGATCTTTCGTCTATATTGCGAAGTCAATAATAGTATTGAATTAATAAAAGAAAATTATATCTTACTTATTTATAAATCAAACTTAAAAGAAACATTTGATTTATTATAAATTAAATTATAAAAGATACACAATTATCTTTGAATCTTTTTGGTCTTATTCTAGCTGACCAACAAAATGAATATATATTACCTACCTTTAGATAACTTAGTAAACTCTTCCAACTTAAAGTTATTTAATACGTCAATTCTCCTACCTAACTCTATTACGTGTACTCTCGTGATAGAACTTAAAGTTATATTAAAACAGTAACAAATTTTTGGTGCTCTCTCAGCAGCAGGGAGTGCAAGCAGACTTTTTTTGGTGGGTGTTATGTTTTGTTCATTTTTACACATCTTTTGATTTGTGAGCTAAAATTGCTAAAATCGATAACAATTTTTGATATATATCAGAAATCGATACACAGAAACACACTCTAGAAAAGGTGTTTTTTCATTTTTAAACTGGCCTCTAGAAGTTCAAGAGCTGTAATTTGTTTCTTGATAAAGTGGAGTTATTTAAAACTTAAGAACTATAATTTGCTTCTTTGACAGAGTGGAACGATTTAAAACTTAAAAAATATAATTTACTTACTTAACAGAGTAGAGTGTTTTAAAACTTAAGAAATATAATTTGCTTCCTTGATTAAAAAAAATACTTAAACTCTTAAAATTTATATTAATTATTTGTATAGTTATTTGAACTTTAATTGTTCTTTAAATGTCTAAAATTTATATTGTATTCTTGCCTAGCTGGCGAGCATAAAACTGTTTAATATAAAAGTTACCAGTATGATCTTTACATGTTCCGGAAGCAGCAGCAGTAAATTTTTTACAACTACTATATTCTTTACAGGGAACACGTTTTTTAGATCTTCAATGTTCATAGCATCCTTTAGAACGTCAACATTCACATTCATATACTTCTCCAGAATTGTGTATATAATAACAGGTATATTTTTCAGACATGAGTAAAAGAGATGTTTTTTATTTAAACAAAAGATCTGATTAAGTAATATATAATAAAAAGTACAATATTCAAAATGATAGACCACAAAAATATTGAATCCGCTTTAATTGAAGTGATTAAAGTAGTATATAGTCAAGGTATCAAAAAATATGACAAATTAAGAGCATCATATGTAAACTATCTTAAAATATTACAGCAAAAAAGAGATCTAGAAGATCATGTTAGATATGTTGCAAAACAACGTAGCCCAAATGAGGAAACTTATAATGAAAGAATGGCAGATTTCAAGGATTGATATAATGAAGAAGTATATGCTAGTCTTGAAAATTTATATAAATTATATCTCAAACTAGCTAACCAAGAAGAGATTGTAGAAAAAAAATCCAAGGAAGAAGTAAATGATATTCTTCAAAAAATTCATGGTCTAGAAATTTAATACTGTTTAAGTACCCACTGAGGTGGAAGCATACTATCTTTAGATATTTTTAATAATTCTTTACGAACAAATGATCTCTTGAGTCCATTATCATTTTCATCAATTAATCAATATAATATTGGTTGATTTTTTTGTATTAACAATTCTTTAATGAAATAGATTTGAGAAGATTAATTACAATTGGTACCTCTTCTTTTACCATCTTCTAATTCACCAGGCTTAAGCAAATATCTAACAGAAATACCATAGGGTAGATTTAGCATATATATATTTCTTTTTTCTAGCTTTATTAGGTGTTATTCCAATTAATCAAGTTATAGTATTATTTAATGTTCTAAGAACAATAGATTAATTTTTTACCCAAACTTTTAATCTTTCGGGTAAAGGTAATAACAATTCATATGCATCTTGAATTCGAAATAATTTCTTAGCAAAAATTCCATTAAAATTTTTAACAATACCCATAATTAGCTTTCTGATTTTTTACATTATGCTTTTTTAAGAGTTTTTCAAAATCATCCTTAAATTCAGAGCTCTTATCAGTCATTACTAATTTTATCATATTCCATGTAATAAAACATTCTGAATTATTAAAAAGTATTCTTTCAAAAGCTTCCGCAATTACAGCTGAAGTTAAGATACCTTCTAAAGAAAAGTCTTCTATATTTAAGATATCAAGATAAGTTCCAATTGGTTCTGCCCATTTATAATGAGAAGCAATGTTAACGCACGTAAGACAAAACATATAAGTTATATCCTCTACTTTATCATATGACATATAAAGAATATCAGCTTGTAAAACTTCAAACAGAACAGTAATATTGTTGAAACTTACACAAGAAATAAACTTTGGATGAGGCATATGAATTTGATGTAAAGCTTGTCTTTCAAGCCATTCTTGAACTTCAGCCAATATAAAATCGAATTCAGCATTATGTGAAATATCATAAAGTTTTTTACTAATCCTTTAATAGCCAGAAGGATGATAATAGATTTTTTGTAAATCGATAGATATATCAAATTTTTGAGATTCTAAAGGATCTATAATAATACTAGGATTACTTATAGTATAGAAAATTCCAACAATGTCATCAAGGATTAAGCAATTTGAGGATAGTTTATTTACAATAAAAAATCAGTTTTGGGCTTTACAACGTGATTTAATTTTAAAAGAGGATTACATTAAATATTTTGAAAAGGTGATCTTAATTCAGAATGACGAACTGGACCCATTGCAACAACAAATCACAGATATTAAAAAGCAATTGCAAAAGGCACTCCAAATCTCTGAGAGTCAAGAGAAATATATAGATTATCTGAAAAAGCAGTTAGTAATTTTTCAGGAAAATCTTAATGCACTTAATGAAAAGATCAAAATTATTTCTTCAAGAAGAAGCTCACTGGATCTATATATCCAGACTTTAAAAGAACAAGACACTAATATGGCAAATATAGATCTTTTTATACTTATTAATCAAAACTTGGATCAACTCAAAAATCATCTTGGAGAAGGCAGTGTTACGGCCCGGAATTATCCTTAATTTCTTAATTTCTTAGTTTTAATCATGTGACTAAATATAGATTGTAGAGATAGCAGAGATAGCAGAGTTCTCAGTTATATTGTTACCATTTTGATAGAGCTTTCGAAATACTCAAAGATATTTATAAAATTTAAGGAATATTCAAAGGGAAACTTTCAATGTCTTAACGACAATTCAAAGTCTAATAATACTTTATGGCTTTAGACTGAATATGAATTAAAGTACGACAAGTA